ATACATTCTTAATAACATTTTAAGGAGAATTAAATACATATATTTGAAGTGCTGATTCTGGCTCAACATAAATAATGTCTGTAAACAGTGTTAGAGAAAACAACTATGAGGTAGGAAATAAGGACATTGTCCAAGGTTTCACACATCAGTAAGTGAAAATTCTGGCCACATGAATCTAGGTCTGACAGGAAGTTCACCCCTGTGTGCTATGGTAGTTGGAAAAAAGAGGTGGCTGAAGAACTAACTGGAGGGCAGGGGGAGGCTTACTGAACTGAAAAATTCTTGACAGATTTCTCCTTTCCCTTCCTCAGTTACCTTCTTAGCCTGTTCAGTAAAGTTTTGCCTCTATGTTTTTAATAATTTTCAAAGGACATTTGCTTACCCCTTATTTATTTCATCCTGATCTTTCACTCTGGCTATCTTGGAATACAGACTTCAAGTGTACCAATTATATAGAGCGAGATGAGATTATCCTCAGCAGTTAGAACAGGGTCTATCAGAATAAATAATGAATGAGGGAATCACCTAGCATTCTTGTGGTTTTTCTATTTTAACTATGAATATACCATATTGTGTGTGTCATTCACATATTTGTGTCCCTGATTGCTAGCACACCCCTAGACCAAAACACACTGATAGGTATATAACAACAAAAATAGCCACCTACAAACTGAGTTACACTCTAACCCAGATTAGAAGGTTTGTAGTCCACTAAGGAAAATAACAGCTACTCTGGACTTTTACTATTTCAAGGAATTTATTTCAAGGACTAAAACAAACAAAATAAGTGATTTAAAAAATGAGGCCTATAGGTCACTTTCCTTTCAAGGAAGCTGTTGTTATCCCATGGGTCATTTTCCTCTTCAAGAAAACTCTTGTTATCCCCATGGGCTGATGAATGATAATAATCATATGGGTATAGATATGGTTAATTCATGTTGAACTTTGGCTTAAGAGACAAGAGTGATTAGTGTTATGCTGTCACTGTAAGTTACAACCACAACAGATGGGAATTGTTACTAAAGTCCAGGCTGGCAGTGTAGTCATCCCTCTGTTATCTCTTCTGTCCACTTACCACCACAAAGAGGCCGGATAATACATGTGAACAGAGCCATGAAAACCCACTTGACAGAAGACCTCATTAGACTGGTAGCTTTCTCTCACCCTCACTCTCATTCTTTTTTTTTTTTTTTTTTTTTTTTTTTTTTTTTTTT